GCTAGAATGACAAAATCATTGATGCTACTAGGGTTTTGGTCACATGTTGGCCTCCTGGGGGGGTGCTGCTTAAGATGACTGCAAGAGCGCCTGGGAGAGCCCAAGATGACCTCCAAGATGGCCCAAGATATCCCAAGATGTCTCAAGATGGTTCCCACGATGCGCCAAGAGGCCCCAAGACCGCTCCAAGACGGCTCCAAGTGGCCAAAGAACTCCCCCAGGAGGCCCTGAAGAGACCAACGTCCTTCCGAAACCTTGGGAAAATCAGCGTTTTTGGCGTTATCGCCTTTCCGTTTCCGATGGCCATCTGAGGCTTTAAGATGGCTCCAAGATGGCCCAAGAGGGCTCCAAGAACGTTTCCAACCCAAAAGCGCTTCAGGAGGGCCCCAAGAAGTGCCCAGGAGGCCCCAAGAGGCGCCCAAGAGGCCTCCAAGAGGCTTCCAAGAGACCTCCAAAAGGCCCCAAGAAGCTCTCCGAGGCACCCAAGACGTTCTAAGAGGCGTCTGGGACCGCCAAGAGGCCCCCAGGACGCTCTAAGAGGCCTCAACTGGGGGACCCTTCCTCTGTGTGCTGCCTAATTCCCTGATCGAGGCAATCAATTCCTCTGGGCATCGTTTCTGGATGGGCTGGCGGGGTTACTTTTTGGTCGGCGGCTCCGAGGCAACGGTCAGGGAGCGGAAGCGGCGTCCGGGATGCGGCACGGTGCGAATTTGCGAACACAGCCGCCACGTTGGCAAGCTACTTCGCACCTGCACAGCAAGCGCGCAGCTGCACAGGCACAGAACAAAATAAACGAAATTCACAAGCAAACGCACATAGGCGCCGCAGCGTGAACCGAAGTAAACAAGCTGCAGAGTGTGCGAATGCAGCGGAGTGAGTCGCCGGTACGGCGCCAAACTCCAGGCCACCTGCCCACGCCGAACTGCTGACCGGGGAAGCCGGGCAGAGCGCGGTGGAAAACACGAGGCAACGCGAGCGCGGAAGGCGGAACCACTCAGCGCTCTGTCCTCAGAATCCTCCGCCCAACCAGGGGGGGGCCAGCGGCAACCAAGGCGCACCGAGTCCGGCGCCTGTGGCGGATAGGCCACTGGTGGGGTTACTTTTTTGATCAGCGGCCCGCAAGGAAGAGTCCAGACGGCGTGTTTATCGGGCTGACTGGGGCACAGAGCCAGATAATTTGCGAACTCAGCCGACACCGTCGACGGCCGATCGCACGTGCGAGCATGCAGATAATTAGCGAACTCAGCCGTCACTGTCGACAGCCGACCGCACAAGGGAACAGTCACATCGGGCTGAGGCACAGAGCCGGTGGTTAGCGAAAACAGCCGTCGCTGTGGACAGCGTAGCGCAGACAACCGGGCACACTGGAGCACAAAACCAAATAATTGCGGAAAGCCATCACTGTACACGGCCGACCGAGCATGCAAGCTGCGCACGAGCAGGCCGCACAGAGAGCCGGGCGGCCACCGTTCAAGGCACCAGCACAACGGGCCGCCGGCGCGGAGCGGGGCGACAGAAGAAGGAAAGAAGAAAAAGGGGGGCCTCACTCACGGAGCACCGCGTGCTCGAAGGCAGAATTTGGTGGGGGTACTTTTTTTGATCTGCGGCTCCAAGGACGATTCCAGAGAGCGGGTCGTATCAAGCATGGGGCAGCATGCAAGATAATTGCCAGCGGGCCAAAAGCCAACGCCGGAGTGCACATGTGCCAGAGAGCGGGGCGCAGCTAGCTGGGGCAACACGCGAGATACTTGCAAGCGGGCCAAAAGCCAACGCCGGAATGCACATGCGAGGAGCGAACCCCATTAAGCCGAGCAAAAGCATGACGGCAAGCAGATAATTGCCAGCGGGCCAAGAGCCGATGCCGGAAAACACATGCGAGGGACAAAATGAGCCTCATTACGCCGAACCCGGCATCCGGTGAAAGCGGGGCGACGCATAGTGGCGCCGGCACCCGACGACCAGGAAGAGAAAACGCACCGCGGACAAAAGCCGACCAGGAACCCTCCTGGCGGGGATACTGCTTTTTATACAGCCGCAGGCGGAAGCGCCAGCGGCGTGCGGCCACGGTCGGGCTGCGGCCGCGACTAGGGAGCGGGCGCGCGCGAGGCCGCGGTCAGGCGGCAGGCAGCAGCGACCCAGGGCGTCTGAGCCAAGGCGTGCAATCCAGGGAGTCTGCAGGGCAGCCCCTGAAAGGAACATGCAACGGCGCATCCAGGGAGTCTGAACACAGGAACCGAGGAAGCAGAGCGCAGCCACAATGGCGCGAAAGGCGTTCCCAACAGTTCGGATGCGAACAAATAAGAAACGGTCCCGAGCGAGACGTCAGTCCAGGGAGTCTGACGGGTAGCACAGACTGACTGGTGACACAGTCCAGCGGGGAAACCCTGACGGCGGATGCGGACCATCGCGACGTCAGAACACGCATCCAGGGTGTGGAAACAGAGTAGCCAGAGAGAACCTTCCACAACTGAGATGCGCCTGAGCCCTTGGTCCAGCGACTGGTAAGGGCGCAGCAGCGTGCACAAAGCCACGCGGTAGTAACACGTAGCTGAAAGTGCACATCCAAAGTGTCTCAGCGCCACCCATAAGCGCGTAGGGTAGCACCCGAGGGACGGGACCGTCGTATACCCAAAACACGTCCCTCAGAGTCACTTCGTTCCAGGGTCACGGCTGAAGGCCGTTAAAAGGTTGAGAAGTCCAGGGGGTGAATCTATGGACAGGCGAGGCCGCCAGGGCCCACAGACGCGCGCCAGGTCGCGCCTGGCGGGCGAAAGCATCTACAGTGAGGCCGGAGGCCACAGGTCCACTAGCTGGGGTGAGC